CAAGAAACGGTGAGGCTGCCTGCGCAAAGATATTATCATCGTCGGAGCGGAGTTGCCGGTTCTGCTCTTCCTTGCGCTCTTGGAAAGGTATGTTTGAAAATTGTAAAAAACTTGCCCTCACGCAGGATCGAACTACGGACCTTCAGTTTACAAGACTGACGCTCTACCACTGAGCTATAAGGGCTAGCTGTGGATGGTGTCCTAATTTTTGTCATTATTTCTTTTTTTCTGCCGGATGGACGCACTGTTCAAGTAATTGAGAGAGAGTTGAACGAACCTGACAGAATTGTTGGTGAACTTCTACAGCCAGGGGGTTACTTGAAGTTAATTGAGTTGGGTCTTGAAGGTATGGAAGAAAATGGGCAGATTTTAGCGTCAAAATGTATACCTTATGGTTAAAGATATGAACTTGTTATGATTTAATCACTGGTTTTTCCGATGCAGATTGTGTACTAAATGAGATTGATGCTCAGAGGGGTATTTGGTTATGCTCTCTACGAAGATGGAGAACATACCAAGCTTTCTTATACCTTGGAGAAGTTTCACTCTGATGTAGCAGGAAGAAGTTTCCATAATGGACGTTTCATCTAAAGGATGAGGCAGAAAGCTTCATCTCTTCCCAAGTAATCTTTTTCTTCTAGATTGTTTATCTAGTTCTTTCGATTTCAAAGCTATTTTTCAAGTTTGGGTTTTTAATAGAAAATTCATGAATGGGTAATTCAATTGATATTATTCTGGCCCTTAAATTGTGCAGTGTAAGACTTGAACAAGGAACTGTGATATCTCTACTTGAAGAAAAGGGGATTATAGAGGGAGTGCAATACAGAATTAAGAGTGGTAAAGAGCTCACAGCTTGTGCTCCTCTCACAATAGTATGTGATGGTTGTTTTTCAAATCTGCGGTGACATCTCTGTAACCCTAAGGTGAAGATGCTTAGCTAATGTTATCAGATTGTAGATATGAGAATTTGTTAACTTAAGATATGCTTTTCTGCCAACAATGCCTGATCTTACCCTATGCAGTTATGGTATGGATGATATAAGGTTCTTTCAATTGTTTCTGCAGGTAGAAATTCCATCTTGCTTTGTTGGTTTGGTTCTTGAGAACTGTGAAATTCCTTTTGCAAACCATGGGCATGTTATATTGGCAGATTCTTCACCTATCTTGTTCTACCAAATCAGCAGCCACAAGATTCGTTGGTTGGTTGATGTACCTGGCCAAAAAGTACCTTCTGTTTCCAGCGGTGAAATGGCCAATTAGTTGAAAACTGTGGTGTCTCCTCAGGTATCCATATATTGCTTTTCATGATTTGTTCACATAAATAATTTTATTCTCACTCTTGATGCAAAATAGGAGCTTTTGAGACACTACCTGAAATGAAAAA